CCCACATATCTCTCAGTGTCCCCACATGTCTCCCAGTGTCCCCGCATGTCTCCCAGGGTCCCCATGTGTCTCCCAGGGTCCCTGTGTGTCTCCCGTGTCCCAGGTATCTCTCGGTGTCCCCACGTGTCTCCCAGGGTCCCACATATTTCTCAGTGTCCCCACATGTCTCCCAGTGTCCCCGCGTGTCTCCCAGGGTCCCCGCGTGTCTCCCAGGGTCCCCGCGTGTCTCCCAGCGTCCCCATGTGTCTCTCAGGGTCCCCGTGTGCTTCCCCGTGTCCCAGGTATCTCTCAGGGTCCCCGCGTATCTCTCGGTGTCCCCACATGTCTCCCAGGGTCCCCATGTGTATCCCAGGGTCCCTGTGTGTCTCCTGTGTCCCAGGTATCTCTCGGTGTCCCCACGTGTCTCCCAGGGTCCCACATATCTCTCAGTGTCCCCACATGTCTCCCAGGGTCCCCGCGTGTCTCCCAGGGTCCCCGCGTGTCTCCCAGGGTCCCCACGTGTCTCTCAGGGTCCCCATGTCCCAGGTATCTCTCAGGGTCCCCGCGTATCTCTCGGTGTCCCCACGTCTCTCAGCATCCCTGCTTGTCTCTCAGCGTCCTGCGTGTCTCCCAGGGTCCCCACGTGTCTCTCAGTGTCCTCGTATGTGTGCGTTTCTCTCCCTCCAGGTTTATTTTGCCGTTTCCTCTACTGTCTGGCTGCGTCCACGGGAGAGACTCGTGTCCTTGGACACGTTAGCTCCTCAGCCCTTCACCCTGACCTTTCAGGCATTGTGCCGCCTGACCAGACTGGGGACTGGGGTCTCGGTGCCCTTCCACCTGGCCTCCGCTCCTGGCACAGGTCCCTCACCTCACTGTGCTCTTTCCCGCTGCCCAGGAGACGGAGAAGATCATAGCCGAGCTCAACGAGACCTGGGAGGAGAAGCTGCGGCGGACGGAAGCCATCCGGATGGAGAGGTGGGTGGCGGGGAAACCGAGGACTCCAGCGCTCCAGCCCGGGCCCCCGCTCCTGGGGGTGGCCATGCCCTCTCACCCAGTGACTCTTGCCCCGTCACCAGTGGCCCCACCGACCTGATCCCTGATCAGGAGACCAGTCCCTCCAGCTGGACACCTCCACTCTCTGACCGGATGGGACGCCACCCGGGCTCCGCCTCGGGCCGAGTGGCCAGAGCCCACGGCCGACTGGTCGGTTGGGGGCCAGGCAGGTCCCGCGGCCTCGAGGCTCGAGCTGACCCAGACACCGTCCCCACAGGGAAGCACTGCTGGCCGAGATGGGCGTGGCCATGAGGGAGGACGGCGGCACATTGGGTGTGTTTTCTCCAAAAAAGGTAGGTGCTCTTTCTAGCTCTGGGGTGCAGCCCTGACTGGGACAGGGCCGGGCGGCCCACAGCCCTTTGTGAGGTGTCAGCTCCTCTGGGAGGAGAGGGGACAGGTCCAGGCACCGGGGGCCACGCTCGGCCACAACCACACCTCCCCAGCGTGGGAGACACCCTCGTGGAGCTCAGCCAAAGTCAGGTCTGGCTATCCCAGCTGGCACTCAAGTCTTCTCCCGCCCGGGCCCACCTCGCTCACAGGACCTGGCCCCGTCACTAGGGGGGCCTCCAGAGCACTGTCCTCCTCAGTAGCTCAGGTGGGGCACAGCACGAGCGTTTGGGGAGAAGTTGTCTCTGATAATTCTAGGACCAGGCCCCCCACCCACCCCAAAGAGTGCCAGAGCCTCGAGCCCTCAGGAACTATGTTCTAAGCCGGGGAGTCTCCAAGGAGGTGGTGGCCGTGTGTTCTGACCACAGCTCCGGACTCTCTGGGCCCTGCCCTCGATACTTTGTTAGTGAGGAAGCTCCTGCCCGCCTTCCTGGGAGCATCTTCGTGTGGCTGGCCCCTCACCCTGGCTCTGTCTGGGACGGCAGGTGCTCTGTGCCACCAATGCCCAAAGCCAGACACACATGGAGCCCCCACGGTGCCGTCGAGGACCCTGTGGGAAGAGATGTGTGGACGATGGTGTGATGCGTGCATCGGCCAGATGTCCGCTCCTTGGGGACAGGGACAGGCTCCTCGGGCTTCTTCCGCCTTCGTGCGCTCCAGGCTGGGGGTGGGGTGGGGGGAGCAGTGCTGAGGCTCAGAGGCGGGGGTGGGAGTGCTTGCAAGGACTCGGGGCAGGCTGAGAAGCAGGTCACACCCTGCTTCATGTGCCTTCTGGAGAGGCCTTGAGTTTTCCTGGGGAAACTTGCCCCTTCCCGGAGGGTGGGGTGTACCCTGGGGCTGTGGGAGCAGGTGCTCTTGGGACACTTGGCACCCTGGTGCCTTTGGTTGGTGGCCCCGGATCTGGGCACTGCCCAGGAGTGGGAGAATGGCCCTAGGGACCGCCGAGGACACCTCCTTCTGAGAAGGGCAGCATTCCTGGGACTCTGGGGAAGTGCCCGTGCCAGCTGGACCCCTCTACTCAGCCCTGCAGGGCGAGCACCGTTCCCCTTGCTTGGGAGAGAGGGCGGTTGGGGACCGCTGTCCCCAGTGTCTGATGACCAGGACTTCACAGCCCCGCACAGGAGCGTTGGTGGTGCATCGTGGGATGTATAGCTTAAAGTGGAGGCGGTTTATGCCAAGGTGCCAAGCGGGAAACCGAGGAAGCTGTCCCAGCCTCCACCATGTTGCAGGACCCTGGCCTGGGACACAGTCAGGGGTGGCGTTCCTGAGCTCAGGAAGCATGTCTAGGGCCCCAGTGCCCTGGGAGGGAGGCAGGTTGCGGAGGGCAGGGCAGCTGGCGGGTGCTGGTCGCCTTTGGTAGGCCCGTGGACAGGAGAGCGGCTCCGAGCTGGGTGGTTCAGCAGGGACTTCCTTTACAAGCTGTGCTCCAAGCCCCCAGGCCAGATCCCTCCCTGGCTAGTGTCCTAATCCTTCTGGACTCTCAGATCCGCTGGGACCTCAGCTCCTGGGCACTTCAGTTGCATTGAGGGCCTGTAGCCCCCTTGTAGGGTGGAGCAACAGACCCAGAGCCTGGTGCCACGGGCCCCGCGGGACTCGGCCTGCGCCCTGCACATCTGAGGGCCCGCCACAGCCCTCAGAACCCCTAGGTTCCCAGCTCCCCTAAGCGCCTACTGCCTGGTTCTGAGCTCCCTGGGCTCCTCACGGGAGCCAGGCCGGGAGGACGCTGTGTCCCCGGGAGGCCAGGCCTAGGCTGGTGGCGGTCTGGCACCTGAGGAGAGACAGGTCAGGTGCGCGCCAGTGCTGGGCCCTGGCGCCTCCCCAGGAGAGGTGACCCTCCTCTCCCCCCAGACACCACATCTCGTCAACCTGAATGAGGACCCGCTGATGTCCGAGTGCCTCCTGTACTACATCAAGGACGGGATCACCAGGTGGGGGTCGTCAGGGTGGGGCAGGCTCCCTGGCAGAGAGGCCGCCAAGCCTGGGTATGTGCTGCAGCATTGCTGTCCCCCGCGATGGCTGCTGGAGGCAATGCCGAAGGCCACCCCGGGCTACGTGGCTCTCCCGGGCGGGGCGGCGCTTGGGGCATCCCCGTGGGGATGCGTGGGCAGGCCAGCGGGTGGCGGCACGGGTGCGCTGGGTCCTGCCGGTGCTGACGTCCCCCGCCCCTCCCCAGGGTGGGCCGGGAAGATGCGGAGAGGCGGCAGGACATTGTCCTGAGTGGGCACTTCATCAAGGAGGAGCACTGTGTCTTCCGGAGCGACTCCCGGGGCGGCAGCGAAGGTACCTCTGCCCGTCAGTCCCCACCTCTGCTCTGGCGCCACTGACTGTCAGGCCCGAGCAGGGCTGTGGGTCAGCCCTCACTCCTTCGTCTGTCCCGGCAAAGCCCTTCCGTTACAACGGTGTTCTGAGGGCTCGGCTGTGGATGCGGGGGGCTCCCTCCCCACGCCGCGAGCGGTCTGGGGGTCTCCGTGGGCAGGAGAATGGGGAGCCGTGAGGAATGAACCTCCATCCGGGCTGGAGGACTATTTTTACACCGCACTCTCCTGTTGGCTGTGGCGCGGCCATCTGTCCGTGTCCCCAGCCTGCCTGCCAGTCACCTCAGGGCAATGGCCTTGAGCAGGGTTGGGGACAGAATTCTGTCTCCAACGCCTGCCCTCCTCTTTGGGATGGGCACAAAGCTCTAGGGGGCTCTGGGACCCCTGGGACCCCTGGGGACACACTAGCCACGGGTTCCCGTCCGTGCCCACCTGGTTCTCTGACTGGGGCAAAGGCACCTCCCCATCGGGCGTCACCCTCACCTGTTGTATGGGGTGTAGCCCTCCTCTGGCTTCTCCAGGGCCCACACGATGTATTGTCTGGTGGCCATCAGGCTTTGCAGCTAGCAGGGATGAGAGAGGCCTGATGCGGGCCACACCTGGGTAGCCAGTTGAGCCGAGCCCTGCATGCGGACAGAGGGCATGGCCACTCAGGATGACAGTCCCTCACTCTCTGCTCTCCCCATCTCTGTCATGTAGCCGTGGTGACCTTGGAACCCTGTGAGGGGGCAGACACATATGTCAATGGCAAGAAAGTCACGGAGCCCAGCATCCTGCGGTCAGGTATGGAGGCCCTGGAGACAGGTGTCTCTTTCTCCCCTGCAGTTTCGGGACTAGGCCTGGGGTCCACGCACTCAGGAGGGTAGGCCTCAGCTCGGTGTCTCCTTCCTGGTACCTGGGCCCCAGGGCAGGGAGGACAAGTGAGGGTGACTAAATGAGGGTGGCTGGCCAAGGTGGTGGGGGAGGAGCTGAGGGAGGCATTAGGGAGGACTCACCAGCAGACAGGGGCTGGTGTGGCAGGAGCTGAGCCTGCTCCGTGGGCCCTGAGTCAGAAGGAAACTAGGCTGTCCAAAGAGCCCTTGTAGGCAGGACTGTCCAAGACGGTGGGTGCTACAGCCCTGGTGGACGTGTCTGCCTGGAGGGTCCTGCAGACCGGGGGACCCTGGCCCTGGGCACATACAGACGGGGGGCCCTGGCCCCTGCCCTGCTTCCATCGAGGTGGGTACTGAGGGGAAGGGCCCGTGAGCCCGTGCTGCAGCATCCTGCAGGGTGGGGGTGGGGGCACACACAGCCCACAGGTGTGGAGGAGTGGCCAGGGCCAGGGCCTGGGGGCAGGAGACCAGGCTGGCCTGGGGGTGACGTGTGGGCTGTGCGCAGGACCGCACGTTGGAGAAATCCCCAGGACTGTTTTGCAAACATCACTGGCTGCTGTATATTGGGGGGG